CCAGGGTCAGTCAGCTCAGCTGTTTCTTTTTGAAAGAGCCAATCCAGCTRACTCGTTTCCGTTACGTCTGCAAAGTCTTTGCTTTCACCCAGCGATGAGTACTTAAAAGTTTCACATCCCCTCATTCTCTGTTCGGTCATCATAAACAAAAATCAGCACTCTTATTTGTTGAAATTCCATTTTTGTAGCAAGAGGGAAGCAAGTAAATGTGAAGTATAAACTCAAACCTGGTCTCTCAACCCCCCCCACTTTTTTGTCCACTTTTTTTAACCCTCCATTTCTCAGAGGAAATCAGTTGATTATTTTTCTTTTTTCTAAATGGCATTAGTGTTGTAGATTTAAAGGGTAGTTTTTTTTTTTTGTAAAGTGTGAATAAAAGGATGTATCTCTTTGTTTCCTTTCTAAAAAAAAGAAGAGTTTTTTGGTGTTGTTGTGTAAATCATGAACTATACGATGGTAATACGTTTGCTGCATTTGTTCTTACCTTCTCCCCACATTCCTCCCTCCCTTTCTCCGCCACAAACCAAATCAGATCCTCTGATCATGTGGACGTATTGTCTCGATGGGTGGATCGAAGAGGTTGAATGTTCCGGTGATGCCTTGGCAGAATGACGTTCAGTGGTTATCGACATGAAACACTTTGCATCATTGGTATCAGTTAAAACCCACAGGGATGGATTTTTTTGTTTGTTTGTTTGTTTGTTTGTTTTCCCCCCACCAATCTTTCAGCTTTATTTTGGATGTTTTGTGGCTCTAGCCTGGAGAGGGCTAGTGTCTGTAGGTTAGAGCAGCAGCGCTGTCTTACTAGTTGCTGCAGTTCAGTACTAGATAACACTGTTTTGACAGGTGTTTAAAAAAAACGTGTTTAATGATGTGCCGCTAGACCGGTCCTGTGATTTTAATTTTATTTTTTGATAACTACTAGTCCATCTTATTCTGTTCTTGTGCATTACAGTGGTTCGATTTGTTCAAACTAACTAGTTGCTCTTTATAATCACTGATTTTTCTCCCAAATTATTATTTTTTTGCTTTTTGTTACCTCTTGTTTATATCTTTCAAACCATAGCTGAGTTTTGCTATCTTTTAAGCACCAGTGAGTAATCACCTTTCTTGTTTTTCTCTTATATTTTTTCTTTTCTGTTGCCTCATTTATTTAGCTTGTTTGGTGTAGTGATTTTATCTCCTTTCTCTCCCCACATGGCTGCATCTCTTTGTAACGGTGCACACCAAAGCTGCTTGTAGTTCAGTTCTCTTGTAGAGCCAAATGTCTCCCCAAATCAATCACCCCCCCCCCCCATCCCTTTATTTAAATGTTGTTTATTTTTGATATTTTAAATTCCAATTCGTTCATCTTTTGTAGGGCTGTAAGGAAAGCAAGGTAACTTGGTAACTCCTCCTTTTCCTTGAATCACATCCATCTTCATACTGTTTGGTTTCTTATCAGCTAAACTTGGCAATAATAACCAGAAACATTCACTCTCATTGTTTTTAATCTTTAAAATGTAGCCGTTTTCACTTTTTTTAAATCTTGTGGTTTAAATCTTTCATGCTGCATTAGCTCGACCCCCCCCCCCCCCCCCCCCATTTTAAATCATCCATCCTGTATATTTGCTCACCTCCCTGCCGATTTTTAGTGGTAGTCGTTCAATGATCAGGATTGTCTTTCTCTGTAGTCAGCTGAGTACATATATTGATCTGTGTCACTGTGTTTATGCACTGGACCAACTATTGTTTACCATTCATAAAATACCAGCAAAAAAGCAAACATTTAAAAAAAAGAAGAAAAAAAACATGAAACACTTGCACAAAGTTCTCGAATGTCCATTAAAACCCAGATGAGAAATCAAGGCAGCTGTTTTCAAATCAACACATACTGTTTTAAAACTGAAGCTGAATGGTAAACAATGCTTTCTGTTCCCCCACCTTTAGTCGTCTTTATTATATTTTATTTTTATCTCTTTGGACTAGTTTTATCCTTTTTTATTTTTATTCCTTAGGACTCCAGGTTCTGCTTGTTTTCTTTACACCTACCTATGTATTTTTTCCTACTTCTGGTTGAAAATAAATTCTGTATTATCTGTTTCAAACTGTGTCACCTCTTATTCTTTGCAATGGATATTGAGAATAAATTCTATATCTGTTCTCCTTGTCTTACTGGTTATACTTTACTGGAGTAATATTCAGCCCTTTTTTATTTCCACTCTTAACATTTTCATTCAATCATCTGTACTTTCTGCTCCTTACATTTGTTTTAAAATACAAACAATATATATATTTTTTTCATTCTGACTTGTCATCATCCATCAATCCATCAATGGTTTTCCTCTTGTTCCAGAGTCAGATGTGAAGGAGCAGCAGCTCTAAGTATCTCCCTGATAACTGAAGTCCTTGTAAACCCTACTTAAGTAATGGATGTGAATACKTTTGAGACCCCTGGTTACAAAGCGACTGGAAGTCCAAATACACTGCCTGTCCAAAAAGAAAGGCCACCAAATTAAAAAGTCACTAATATTTTGTTGGATCCCCTTTAGCTATGATTACAACACACATTCACTGTGGCGTTTCGATAAGCTTCTGCAATGTCACAAGATTTATTTCCATCCAGTGTTGCATTAATTTTTCGCCAAGATCTTGCATTGATGATGGTAGAGTCTGACTGCTGAACAAAGCCTTCTCCAGCACCTCCCAAAGATTCTCATTGGGGTTAAGGTCTGGACTCTGGAGCCAGTCCACGTGTGAAAATGAATCTTATGCTCCCTGAACCACTCTTTCATAATTCCAGCCCATTGAATCCTGGCCTTGTCACCTAATACGCCCGTGCTATCAGGGAAGAAACAATCCWTTGATGGAATAACTTGGTCATTCAGTATATTCAGGTAGTCRGCTGACCTCGTTCTTTGAGCACAAACTGTTGCTGAACCTGGACCTGAACAGCTGCAGCAGCCCCACATCAAAGCACTGCCCCCCGCWGGGTTGTATAGTAGGCATGATGGGTGCATCACTTCACCTGCCTCTCTTCTTACCCTGATGCACCCATCACTGTGGAACAGGGTCAGTCTGGACTCAGACCACACGACCTTCCATTGCTCCAGAGTCCAATCTTTATGCTCCCTAGCAAATTGAAGCCTTTTTTYCCCCAGTTAGCCGATGATTAGACTCTTCTCAAACAGACTGACATCTTTTCCACAACCTGTATCTTTTGACATTGTTGTTTAAGTCAGATGTTCTCAAAATGGGGTCCCAGGACCCCCAGGGGTCCATGAGAGGTATCTCAAAAAAAAAAATTCACTAAATTGTTAATTTGGCTTTTATTTTTAAAAATGCACGGAGAACAGTTAACTAATAAAACAAACAATAAACTTAAAAAATATAGATTCCCGTGGCATTTAGGGGTTAAAATGACAGTAAATTATCTTTTAAAACAGCAGGGGGGTTTATGAGGGGGTCCCTGGAATTTTTTTGCCCTTAAAAGGGGTCCCCAGACCCAAATGGATTGAAAACCCCCTGTTAAGTAATGAGAAGCCACTCATTGCACCAGTTGGGAGTAAATAACTTGTTGCCAGCTGAAAGATCATCACCCAGTAATTATCCAAAAGAAGGGTCGTACCTATTTGCTTAGTTAAATCCAGGTGGCAACCTTTTTTTGGCTAGGCAGTATGTGGCCTTCGACTGTATATTCTAAAATTCTTGATTATCAGTGGCTATATTTAAGGCCTGTTCTGGCGTTGGCACTTTGACTCACTCCATAGGTGTCTTAGTAAAGGATAAAACCTCTGTGTTATGAGGTGCTGTTGTGTAGCAGAATTCTACAAGGACTGCAAACACAACAGTTTCCTCTCTGCAACGTTTGTCGTTGGATCCACATGGTGGAGCCAGAGGATCATCTTAACACAAAGCATTGAGTTCAGGGCTGTACAAGTCATCCTATGACARACCTTTCTAGTTTCCTGGGCTAAATCACCTGGGACTTTTCTTTTTCCATAAGAATAAGAACATAATATTTACACTCTAAGCCTCTTAATCTATGAGAATATAGGTAATGCTGACATTTAATTTCAAGAAAATTAGCAGGGGTTAATTTCCTAACGCAGAGTCAACCTGACAACTTCTAATTTATATTCAGTTCATTYTTGACACTTTGTTTGTATGGGATTTAAAGCAGTTATGATAGTTTTAGTGCTAATAAAAAAACATCAAAATGAATCAGCTTAAATTTCCAGTTTTTACATACGGCGGGTAAAATAAGTATTGAACACGTCAACATTTTTCTCAGTAAATATATTACTAGAGGTGCTAATGACATGAAATTTTCACCAGATG